ATGGTAGAAGAGATGCTAGTAGTGAACTTAATCCAAGACTCCTTTTGGCTTTGACATCGAACTTGCCGAGCATGGGCACGGGCCCGCTGATAAACAATGCGGTTAGAAAGAGAGGGATACTAGCAGGCAGGACTCCACCATGGTCGAGGATACCATGGAAAACGTGTCGAGGTCTTAGGAATAGAATGAACAGCTGCCTGGACAATACAGTCAGTCACTGCCACCACACAATCGTCTATTGATGGCAGACAGACGAAGGCAGGATCAAGTTCAGAGAGAGAGGTGAAATATGGCCAGTCAGCCCTCCATGTACCCACCCATCACACAACCTGTCATTCCGGTACAAAGAAAACTGTCGAAAGGTGACTGTATCGGCAGGTTTCAGAAATGTTTCCTGTAAGGAGAGACACGCGGGAAGATAAAAGTCAATCAAGGCCTAAATGTCATCGAAATTAGAACGAAAACCTCGACAGTTCCACTGTATCAAAGTGGCCATTTTTATGTAGGTTTAGGAGAACAGGGTGGAGAACCCTTCGATTTACGACCACGCCATTTTTCTTTAATAGATGGAGGTCGATCGACCTCCATGGATCCTGCCCTTGATCAAGCGGGCAGATCTCTGTCATCAGAGTGAGAATCCAATGACTGAGAATATGATCGAATGATCATATTGCGTTTAGGGGCCAAAGAAGAACCCGCATGGACACAAAAGGCTGGTACCCGAGGAGGTTGACCCAGGCAGTCACTGGAAGGAACAGTGGGGACAGAGATTGGAGTAGATGTAGATCTATCAACTCAGATGGAAGCACAGAAAGGTCCGTCTGCACTCCCACTGTAGCAGTGGAACATAGTGCAGTGGCATGTGTCCGAGATGTAGTAGGAAACAATAGCTTCCGGGAGATGTTATTAAGAGTCTTCAAACACTGTACCTCTTTCTTCTCCACCCACTTAGGGCAAGACTTAAAATAAGAGGGGTGGGAACCACTACAATTAACACAGTAAGGGTCCAGTTTGCACTCTTAGGCGTCATGGTCCTTACCACCACAACGAGCACACGTCACAGAACCACGACAAGATGTCTTTGAGTGACCGAACCACTGACACTGAAAACATCGGAGAGGGTTGGGAATATAGGGCCATACCTTACACTTCAAATAACCTGCTTTAACGGCGGCAGGTGGACGTGGTGATGAAAACGTCAAAATCAAAACTGAGGTCGGCACCATAATTCCATCTTGACGAGTGGGGATCCTTTGAACTACTGAAACTCCTTGGCTGGAGAAACCATCAAGTATCTCCGACTCGGGGATAGACTTCAAGTCCCTCTCAACAATAACTCCTCGTGAGGAATTCAGGGAAGCGTGAGGAGTAACCTCAATGGGTATATCCCCAATGGCCTTTGAATTCAAGAGGAGTTCACTGTGCTTAGCTATGGATGTTTCAACTAAGATGTCTCCAGAACGGAGTTTCTTAACTGACTTTGGAAAGCCAGCAAGCCCTTCGAAGCCCTTCTGAATAAAAAAGGGAGACATTTGCCCTAAAGATTTATCGGACAGTGAATGCAGGATCAAAAAGCAAGGTACAGGTGTACTTTGTGATTGAGACTGCTGTTCAAAGTCTTCTAGGCGTGGTCGTTTACCGATTAGCAGATTTTTAATTTTTTTCTATTTGGAATGGGGGGATCCATAATTAAGGAGAGAGATTCAGTGCCCACTGACCCCACCCGCCATGGAGTCCTACGAGGAGACGCACTACAATGTCAAACAAGGACACTGCAGCAACGCCAGGGTTTCGTGAGCACTATACCTAAACACCAGTATCAGACACAATGTCCACAACACCCGTTGAGAACGCCCAACACTGGTACTCAGTTGACCATAGCCTCAGTGGACCAGCCGATTGACCCTAGGGGGCCACCCGTCTAC